TCACGAAGCTTACTTCCCTTCGAAAAATTGGATGGCCCTTAGTTGGGGTAGGGGGTGGAGACCACGCGGCGATGCGGCGCTTTGTCGGGCTTTCTTTGCAAGGCTTACTTCCTCCCCGCCCTGTATTTTAAACTGCTACGATGCGGCGAAATAGTAACGGTCGTTGTGACTACGCCTCAGAGTTGCAGACGAGTAGAGCGTCGCGATGCCGCGTGGTCCCCGCCCCAACTAGGTTAGTATCAAATGGATTACTTCGGTCCTTATGAACCTTCGCACCACAACCCCCCCCCCCCCTCTTACAGGAAATGACCCTCAAAAACCAATCCTCTACTCCATATCAAGGCCAATCTTACGATTTTCACTTCTCGCAGAACGCTGAAAAGGTTGACAGCATCTCGGAAGAAATAGAAAACTGGAGATTCAGAAGCTACCTCAAAAAATGATGGAGAATTAGTACGAAGAGCCAGGCAAAGAAACGAGATCACAAAAGAGGCGTGATTTGTAATGTGACTTACATACTTCGGTAGACTGCGGCCGACGACACTTGATTGACGCTCTTTCATACGGTGTCAAAAATGTTGTAGCGTCGTATCCAACTAAGTATGTAAGGATAGTTCTTTTATCTTTGCCTTTTTTTATTGAAGGGAGCCGACGGCTTCCTGAACGATTTGCCCATATATGGCCTATATATACCTCCCATAACCTAGAGTTGATGCGATTTCTAATTGGAAGTTTGTTTACTGAGTAGTTGTCGGACATGGTCGCGAAAATTATGTTCGATTTGGCTACAGTGCCACTTGACGCCCTGTATTTCAACACTGGATTCACCGAATACTTGCATAATTTTCCTAGGGTGTTTATTCAGTGCCTCTGTCTCGAACATAATACCGGCGATAAATACGAATGCCATATCCATGATCAGAAAACTGAATAGCTCTCGAGGGAAACGAATTTTCAGTAGAATTCTATTTCAGCTGAGCTCTTGTGTTAGTTCTAGGTCTATTCCAGTTAGGGGGCATCATGATGCAGCTTCTCGGCGAACTAGTGTGAACTCGAACATTCCAGCTTTTCACGCATGTCAAGTGACTGCCCTCACCCCCACCCCCCTAGACTGGCTACACCCCCTGGCTCGGAGTTACCTTAGCTCAGAAACTGCATCATGATGCCCCCCCCCTAACAGGAATACCCTAGTTCTGTAATGTCCACTATTTTTAGACAAGAATTATGAAAGAAAATCGAATGTTTGTTCACACTAGGATACACCAGCTGCAAGTGTAAAATCTATGCGTTTCTAAACATTCATTAGTTTCCAAGCTTCGGTAGGTGGCGGATTTTCACCGTGCTTTGCGAAGTCCAGTTCCTCCAACTGCGAATTTTCGCTCAAATCGCGTCTCTTGCTCCGATGCTAAAACACGACGCCAGTGCGTTTCCAGCCAACAAAAACTTTTATAATTACAAGAAGTCGTACGTGCTGGCTAAACGTTTTGCATGAAGATGCCAATGGCAATAAGTCAGTTTTCTTCCCATCAGACTCATGCTTCAAGAGCGTGCAGTCTTTTGAGATTCATGTAAATGGAGGATGTGCTCCAGTTTTGAAGCCCCTTCCCGAATTTCACCTTTCCAGTTGATGAATTTTGCTGTTAAGTGTTTTCTTCGGTCGTTTATAAATATGGTAATCGTGTCTCTCTGTTTGATCTTCCTTAACTGTTGTTGATACACTTTTGCTTGACTTACTACCTACAGTCATTCAGGTGTTGAGCCTTACCTATGGCGGCCGGCAATGTAATTCCGGAAAACTATCAGACGCTGACACCGATTCTGAAGACACCTGTCTCTGATATATTTCAGATTCCGCTCTCGCAACAAGGTGGGGATGTAGGACTTTTTCATTGTTAGCTTCTTTCCGTTAGGTGCTAAATATTGGGGAACAGAAATGGGTGCTAACTTAGTTGGGGGGGGGGGCACGCGGCGGCGCGGCAGTCTGCTCGCCTGGCATGTTCGGAAATCCGTGGGCCAGGGGGAGTGTAGGCAGTCTAGGGGGGTGGGGGGTGGGGGCAGTCACTTGACATGCGTGAAAAGCTGGAATGTTCGAGTTTACACTGTCTCGCTCGAGAGAGCCCAGGTGAGCAGACTGCCGCGCCGCGCGCCCCCCCCCAACTAAGTTAGCACCCAGAAATGGCATAATCATAGCTCGAGGGTGGATGAACAACGTTTCTCCTTGCTCCAGCGCACTTGCACTGATCGTTCCCGTGGGTCCTGCTATAAACAAAATATGTAAGTGCAGAGGTTGGACGTAAAAATTCGGGAGACTTTGAGGCCCAAAAGGAGGTGTTGTGGTTGGATGTTAAGTCTTATATAATGACTTAGGCTGCTTTCATAGTCTGCGCGCCGTCCGTGCGGACGGCTCGGACAGGGTGAAAAACGTCAACACGCGCTCTGGCGCACAATGCGTACTTGGCGCGCAGTCGGCGCCTCCCTCGATCGATACCTCGGATTTAAATGCATTTCCTGCATTTTTCGAAGTTTGTGAAGATGTGTTGCGTTCATTCATGTTTTTTTTAGTTCGTACTTCGTATAAACACATGAAATGAAATGACGAACTCCTTGGGTCTTATTGTCACGTTCTCACGTAGCCAATCCACGCCGACTCGATCGGAGCAATTGAAACATATCAGCTAAGGCAAAGAAGAAGTCTCAACTAAAAAAACATGAATGAACGCAACACATCTTCACAAACTTTGAAAAATGCAGGAAATGCACCGAAATCGAGGTATCGATCGAGGGAGGCGCCGACTGCGCGCCAAGTACGCATTGTGCGCCAGAGCGCGTGTTGACGTTTTTCACCCTGTCCGAGCCGTCCGCACGGACCGCAAACTATGAAAGCAGCCTTATGAACTTCACTCGGTGCTAAGTGGGTTGGGGGAACCACGCGGCGGCGAGGCGCTCTGTGTTAGTGTGCTCCTCCAAGGCTTAGTCCAAGGGGCAGTTACTATTTCGTCGCTGTTAGTTATTATTAGCTATTGGTTTCGAAATACGCGTCATCGGGGGACTAAACCTCGGAGGAGCAGACGAACAGAGCGCCGCCGCGTGGTCTCCCCATCCCACTTAGCACCCTTCACTCATATGGATATTTTTAGGCCGTCCATGTGGCTTTTTCGAGGCACAATTCTTTCGTTGTATGGAGGCCTACGGCGCAAAACTTGGCCGCAAATACTGCGATCTAGAACACCGTGACTTTAGGGAATGTATCACCAGTGAAAAGCAGAAAAAGGTTTGTCTTCTCTTTCCAGCTTTTCTCTTGTTCTAAAAATTTGAGTTTAGTCGTGTAAGCAGCTGGTATCGGGATGCACTGGATGCTGCTTCTTGAAACCACTTTGAATTGCTCATGTTTAGGCCGATGTCAGACTTAGCGAATCTAGCGAACAGCGATTCGCTATCGAATCGCTGGACACGAGCGTTGCACTAGCGAATCGAACTATGTGCCAGCGGATCGATTGACGTACAGCTACTCGGCAGTGTTTGAAAGTAGCGGGATTTCCTTCATGCGTTGGGTCCCGCCCCTTTCAAACAGGGTTGAGTCGCTGGCAGGGTGAATATCGGTCGAGGAACGGTCGAGGAAATCCTCGACTTAGGTCATGGGGAATCGTACTCGTAGGGATCAGTAACGTCAGTGGCATCGTGGTGCAGATAGGAGGATGGGAGTGTAGTGCAGCAGAAAAGCAAGGCTATGTGAGAAAACATGATATAATATTTTTGCAGGTTCAGTCGCTCCATTCCTCTACCTTTATGAGAAGGAATGTATTTTAAGTAGTACAATCCGCAAAGAACGGGGCCACATGTGCACACGCTGCAAAGGCACCTCCTCTATCTACCGCCCGCTCCCTCTCCCTTCAATACCTCGTTGAGAATGACACTGTTGTTAGGGACGCTGTCGCAAAAACGACAATAGTTCTGGAAAGACCCTGGGCAAATGAAGCTGTTCCTTAGGTTATAGGAGTTACGAAATGTGTTACAGTTTCTGTCAACAGGTCATCATCATATGTATAACACCTTTCAATAGATTCTACAACTTGAGTGGAGGTCGGATGCATGGCCTATACTGAGACGAGATCGGACGATGACGATTGCCCTTTTCTTGTCGCTTACGTTGGGAGAATTTATTCTAGACACTTTTTGAAGGCTGGAAAAATTGCAATGATGAAGAAGGGGGCCGAGATTCATCCTCGATAGATCCTCGACGCAAATATCTCTCAACTAGAGAATGTAGAAGGAAGCTAAACATACTGTTAGAAAGCGCAAACCTTCCGCTTTCCAAAACTGTCTTCGTTTTTTCAAGATCTTGCGAAATTAGAGAGATATTGCCTTTTAAGGCAAAAACTCGCATGAAAAATTCAGCATCCTCGACGCTCCCTCGACAAAATTTGAGAGACCCTATCTCTTCGAGTGGAAGCTTTCAGATCAATTTCAATATTGCCCGGTAGTAGCAAATCCAGCTCTATCTAACCCTACCACATACTGCTCCAAAGGTTATGAAATGGGGGAATGGAACCTTTTCATCGAGAGTGTAGATTTCGACGGTTTCGAGCGGGGTTTCGGCAAATCTGACCCACGGATAAACCGCGCTGCAACTGAATGCTTTGCTGTACATTGATGGAACTCGCTTATTCACATCAAATCAAAGTTAGAGGGGTCGTATCAAGACCCGATCTGAGGGAGGGGGTCGTACTGATGTGACCACGTCCTCGACACGATTTTCATTCTGGTCGGTGATACATCGTTCGATCCACTGGTTCACAGCTCGATTCGCTGGTGTATTCGCTAACGAATTGCTGAATTCGCAAAGTCTGACATCGACCTTATAAGAAAAAGAAAAGACGAAACACAGGCTGCGCAGCGCAAAGCTTCGCAACCAGTATTCGCCATGCGCTGTGTGTATTATTATTCTAAGCTTTTTTGAAATGCTGAGAGTTGAGAAGCGGGAACATGTGTGAGAGCAAGAGGTAGAACTGAGAGTCACCCGTCCGTCCGGCCGATTCTGATGTAGAGGTCGTATTTTCTATCATTGGAAGGGGATGGTAGTAAATGGGGTTGATGAGGGTGAAAAAACGAGGGGTAGTAGCTTCGAAAGTTGGAGGTGTCATGTTTAGGGTAGAGGAGATTGTTTTCGAAGGGGCCCTCAACAAATCTCAGCAAAAGTCAACAAATAAGCGCATAATCACGATTTTGTGCAACCTAGAAAAGAAGGTAAACGGCGAATGTTTTCAGAATTACCTCAAATTTCCGTATGTAACTGGAGGGGCTAATCTTCCTCTACAATAAGACACCCAAAACTGCTTGAACGGTTGCGAAGAAAATACCAAAAAAATGCAGAGAAATACTCGGAGGAAAAGCGGCGGATAGTTTCTCGCAGACCTAAATATAAGCTCTTTTTCACTTCGAGTTAATGCGCTTACTCTCATGGAAAACCGGTCAGATTGAACTACTCAGTGTGAACTGCTGAGTTATCTCCGAAGGAAATATCACCCTGATCATTGTGGAAAATGGTGACTTTTTCTTCTGTTTTCAACATGGGCATAGCCGGTTTCCATCATTTGCATTCAGAGAGCTAAAGCGATCGCTACGCAACGCCTAAAGTTGTACTGGGAAGGCAAATTGGACAAATGTTTTCTGGAGAACCATCCACCACCAGGACAGGTCAAGCAAGATTACTTCGAGTGGAATACTATCAACTAGATTTGTGTATGTGTAGAAATTAGATAAAGCGTGTCTTTTGTATCTTCCATTTTTTGTGTTGAACGTGTAGTGCGAAATTGTATCTCCATTGATGAGCTGCTGCTTAAGTAATCGTAGTTATCGTAACATGATCATGAAGCATGTGCTATTAGAAGATATGCCCGACAGAAACGTTGCACCAGAGGAAGTCAAGTTCATCCCTGGTCCGTCATCACCTGGCTCTCTTTTTGGTCAGGATTGGCAAGAAAGACGAGCGTATCTTCGTCCAAGTGATAACATAGTGATCATGCTCGCTGAAAGAGAACGAGGTTATACGCGTAACGGTTTGTGGTCACAGTTTCTATTTTTTTTTACTAACATTTTGTAAACGTAAATGCTTAGTGTAGTTCATTCGGCTCATATTCCTTGTGAGTTCTTGTTCACAATTGATTCTCGTCCACCTTTGCGTTGAATTGGAGATTCGATTAAAAAAACGCTGGGGTACGCTGGAGTGAAGACTCGATACTATCTGTTGAACTTTTTAACCTGGCCATTTGTCAGTAATTATTGCCTATCACGCTATTACACACTCTTGCAACTTGTACCTCAATAAGTGTCCACGTTCAATTTTCAGAGAATCTTGGTATTGCGAGAATTACTTTCTGATGGATTGGTTGAGAGGTAACCTTTTTCCTTGGTTGCGGCTAAACAACCCAACCGAAAGTAATACTTCAATATTTTTTCATCATCCACGCATTTCAACTTGCTCCTGCCAACTCATGGAGCAACCTTTTGACTAATGTTATGGAGTAATTCTCACCTTTGGTCGCATTAAAAAAGATTACTGTGTAGAACGCGGGTATTTGGTGAATCGAAGTGGTATTGTTGATTCAAGTCGTAGACCTTCGATAGGAACCAATTTCGCTAAGGTTTTTAGTTGGACATTTGACAATTGTTATATTTAGTACATCTAGATAAAGGGATACAATAGGTCTGCTGGGATCAGATAACCTTGGCGGAGAAGATGTAAGGATTTGGAGAAGAACGTGGCTTAGAGTGTTCATATTCTTTTCCTTATTTGTGATAAATGAGCTGGTATTCTCTCGGTGTCATATTCCATTTTAGAAAGGCAGAAGAACTCCTTTTTAGGTGTAGAGTTGAATACGCCATTCATGGACAGTGAGGGTCAATTTAGTGTGCAAGTGTACCTACCTTTTTTACAACTGTCAGAGTTTAAGCTGCAGTAGATCCTCCTTGAATCATAAATTAGCACTTTTTGGGGTAGCGCGTTTTCAGGTAGATCTTCTTTATTTTTGATTTAGTCTCTATTTAGGTGTACGGCATGTTCGCAATCGACATGAGTTTTATTCGACTGTGGCTATGGATCGTATAGTTGGAGGTGCGTCGAATTAACCAGCTCCGTTCCCATGCTCTGGCGGCGTTATCTCATTTTGTTCTAGAACATTCAATCTTTTAATCTTTTAATTGTTGAATCGTGGGACAGAACCTAATTTTGAAACCTACAGAACATAATTTTGGCCTCAGCCTTCTTTGTGAAAGAAATAAGGCGTTAGGTGGTGATTTTAGTTGCTTTTGCTATTTTATACATCAGATCCCATCTCTCGCATTCGGGCAGGAGTGAACGTTTTGCATATAGAGCAATTTGCGGATTAGATCATGATATAAGTTGTTATTGAAACGTGCATTATTCATCCCTTTTTGATGTAGAGCAAGTCGATGTTTGGACGGCATCATTTCAAAGTTCTAATGCTCAACGAGTCTGTGTCCTTCCTTCTAGGTACCGGAGTCTCGTCATCTGCAAGATCACGTTGTTTCATGGACACCAGATGGCTCAAAACTTATCACTTTTCGTGTTAATCTGCGTTCGGTTCGAATCTTTCGTTATCTAGGCGTTGAAAGTGCTCGTTCAAGTGCTGCAGAGAATCTTTGCGAGGTAAAGCTTTCTTCCAGCAACTCGAATTCACCTTTCCAGGGGCGGTATTCAATCCTTCCCCTAGGGGTTGGGGGACGAAAATCCCTTTAAATTTTCTCTGTCTTCCCAACTGGGATTGTCCTGATAAAGGGCCTACATTTAATGTATGTATGTATGTCAAGTAAGCATGCATTGAAAATGAAGAAACTACATTTAAAAACAAATAAATTTAAAGGGATTTCCGTCCCCCAACCCCTGGGGGAAGGATTGAATACCGCCCCAGATTAATTTCTAGTCTTTCTAGTCTAGTCTATAGCGGTATTATTCGTCGTAATTGATTGAAAATATGTTCTATATTTAGCGATTATTTGAATTGGAATCTGAGGTGACCATGATGATGGGAACATCTCGTTTGGAGAGTGCTTCATTACGAACGGATTGCATGCTATTCACTGATGATGGTAACTATATGATCGTAGCAACAACAGCACCGGTGCGGTCTCCTCTCGGTTCACTTACACCTTTTTTGTTTTACATATTTTTGTTGTTATGCGCACTACTTTCTAGCACTAACCTCCTCATGGTCTGTTTTCCATGTTTTGCTTTCAAGTCTTAAATCTGTAAAGGGGAGACATGCGGCAAAAATGGCTCTGTCAGGCTCCTCACTTTT